TCAATAACATCAGGACTGCTTTGGTGGAGATCAATGCCACAGTTCTCTTATGCTTCAGTTTCTTTGCCATAAGCAGTTCTCAAAAAGAACGATCTACTTTTAAGTCTGTTTTCTAATTGGCCCTGCAATTCCAGCTGTCTCTGATCTATGTTTTCTGGTGAACAAAATATAGATACTTAGGTCCAAAATACACTGCAGCCATAAATAATCCAGTCTGAGACTGTTTTACCTGCTCTGCCATAATGCTAGGGAATTCTGGGAGCTGTTGTTTTGTGAGATGTTTAGCCTTCTTTTTCAGAAAGCTCTGGTGCCACAATAAACTACAATTCCCAGGATTTGCTAGCACTGAGTCAGGACAATTAAAGTGCTCTCAAACTGGATTGTTTTTGCAGTGTGTTTTGGACCTTCAGTGTTGCTGGAAGGAGTTACAGAAGATTATTATCATATATCAAGTACCCTATTTAATGTTTAAAAAGAGTCAGCATGGTGTATTGGCTTGAGTGTTGGACCAGGATGTTGGAACAGCAATAATCCCACTTGGTTATTAAAACCAAGGAGTTTATCACATGCACTTTTCAGCCCCATCCATGCATGGGATGGGATTAGGCTGGAATGGGGGGAAATGGGTTTTACCACACGTGAAATTGCTGCTGCGTTCCTGGCTGACCATCACCCATCCCCGATCTGGCCTCTGCCGAACGCTTTTGGTAGTATGGAAAGCTTTATATGGAAAGCTAAGTATCTCTACAAATCCCAGAATTCCATAGCATTGAGCCATGGTGTCTAAAGTGATGTCAAACTACATTAATTTTGCAGTGTAGATATAGCCTTAGGCTTCTGCCAGTAACTTACAGGCATCACAGGTCACAGTTTCCATCCTCCTTTGCTCTTGATGTGCCCTGGCAGCTCCACCACATCTCAAGGTACCCAGAGTGTCTTGAGGTGGCACTTCTTGATGTCTTCTGTCACCCCTCACTTCTCCTATTGTGTGACAAGAGGACTGGGCAAAAGGCAGCCCTTTATCCAATTGAATTAAACATTCATCTGCTTCCCTCATTTAGGTGTCAGATACAATCCTTTTCTTTTTTCTAACTAGAAGGGACACATAGAGCCTGGCAAAACCACCTCTGATTATTCTTTGCCTAAGAAAACCCTATGAAATGCATGGGGCCACCATATGTTGGCAGGCAACTGGAAGGTACACACACACACACACACTTCCCCTGTTAGTTTTCTTAGGGTAGAGTTGGGGAAAATGTGGCCCACAGGCTGCATAATGGTCCTAAAGCCATTTTAAAGATTTCTCTGAGCAATATCACCTCCAAACAGGGTGACCAGATATCCTTTTTCCAGGTCATGTCCTACATTTCAACCTTCTGTACAGGAGGAATTTCAAAATGTCCTCCATTTTGACCTAAGAAGCACGGATCTATATTTGTATAAATGTTTTTAACTCTTATTTTGTAATGTCCTGCATTTTGCAGTGCCTTGTCCTTCTTTGTAGTTAGAACTTCTGGTCACCTCCAAAACTCAGGTGACCTGAAAGCATATACGTATGAAAACACAGATTGAAAGTCTACCCTAGCAGTGTGTGAGAGAGCAGTAAAGAGAGAAAGAGAGGAGGCATACCTGTGTAGTGTGGTGATGACATCTTTGTGTTTCTATGGACATTATCACATGGGGGAAATCTGCTGGTTAATCCATACAAATCCCAAACAGAAACTGGATTTGTGCCTCACAATTTCACATGATGTCACACAGAAACTGGTGTTACCTGAGATCTTTTGAAATTCGGTAGTTTTGAGGAAATGCATTTGCGAAATTACAGTAATTTCGCATTTACTGTAATGTGAAAAGCAAATGCCCATTTGGGAGCATTTCCTTGCTTTTCCCATGGTTCCATGGTGAGCATTCCTCTATCTGCGCATGTGCAAGAAGATCATTTCTAGTACATTTACGGGCTTTTCTCACTTGTGTGTGAACGTTAAATGCGCTTACTGTAATTTCACAATTAAGGCAATTACGTGTGAAAGCCATTTGCGGAATCAAGGTTTATTTTCGGTTTATTTTCGGAATGCCTCATTTCCACTTTATTATCACTTTCTGGCCCATGTGTGATAATGTCCATTGTGAGAAAGATTCTGCATTGATTATGAATAAATGCATGTCCATGTCCTTGTGTGTGTGTTTGTGTAAATGAATGCTTGTGTGACTTGTATGCATGTGTATGAAAGTATCTGCTTTGAGATCTGTGAGAAAACGCTTGCCTGCCTATATGTGAAAGCTCCTGCTGGTGTGAATGTGAACAACAACCTATCTCACATGTCTTAATGCCTGCTTGTGTGCATGACTGAATATCTGCCTCATGCGTGTGTGTGTGTGTGTGTGTGTGTGAGAGAGAGAGAGAGAGAGAGAGAGAGATCCACTTTCTTGCCTGCTTTCTCGTCATCCCTGTCCACCAGCAACAGTATTCCCTAGGTGTCACTACCTGTGGTGGTGGAATGCTGAATGAAACCTGGAATATTTACTTTCAAGTACATAAGAACATAAAGAACTTCATGCTGCATAATGAAGGTAACATATTGTTTGACCCTAAGGCTATGCTGTATTCTGGCATATCATAAGCATTGGGAACTTTGCAGTAGCTGAAAGGGAGTTATTATGCAAAATTCTTCTACTCTATCCGTAGTTGAGGGACAATAGGAAAAACAGCATGCTGATCACTGGTGCTTATTGGTAAAGAAGTGATATGACAGCCATGCTTTCTAATAATATAGCAAGCAGAATAAATTTCTTAATTTTAAGGAGCAAGATGTGGAACTGTTAATGAGGTACTGAAGGTTTAGAAGTGAAAGAATATGCTTTTTGTTATAATCTACTTTCTTCTTTACTGAACTGAAAGCATATTAGCCTTTTAAATTAGTTGAATCTGAGACAAGAATTGCTGCTGTTTCTTCTGTTCTGTTCTTTTTTTTTTTAAAATGGAAATAGAAACCTTGGACTTGTACTGACTCTACCACTCTTTCTTCTTACTCATAAATGCTTCAGACATCTTATGGGCAGCTTCATGGAATGTATTCTCAAGATATAAAAGGCATCTGTGCCATCAATTACCTGTACACTATCATTTCCTTTATGCATTGATTTTTCTGCATGATGGAGACATGCTGGAACTTAAATGAGAGGGAACTCATAAGCAGTATGAGGTGCCTCCAACATGTATAATTTGGTTGCCTCCTACATATCTACTAAAAGAGGCAGGAAGAAGGGTTATGATAAAAGGACAGAAGGTCACAGTCTAGTAATTTAGAAGGGCAGAAAACCTGGACCACCAAGTAGATAAGTGCATATTGTTAGCAATCCTGATTTGGTTGCTTTGGAGAAGGATGGTGAATATGGACAAAAAAAAATCTTGATTTCAATACTTTACCAAAGGCAACCCCAGGAGGAAAGGCATTGGGAGTCAAGAGCCATTCTGCTCTGCTCAGCTATTCTGATCTCCAATCTGTGGTAAGAATGGGCCCCATCATTTTTGTACTTCTGGACAGGGTGAGGAATGGTCTATATCTGGCCAGTATAATGTGAATGTTGAGAACACATACATAGCAAACTTTACATCATGTTGCCACATATTGATAGAACTGTGATGATATTTTAGGACTTGTCTGCACTGCAAAAGTAAAGCAGTTCAACATCATTTTAATTGCTGTGGTTTAATGCTATGGAATTCTGGGGTGCATAGTTTTGTGAGATATTTAGCCTTTCCTGTCAGAGAGCTCTGGGGCCCCACCAAACTAAAAATCCCAGAATTCCATAGCATTGAGCCATGGCATTTGAAGTGGTGTCAAACTACATTATATACGCAGTGCACGTCACCGAGAAAGAAGTGCAGTATAAAATCAAAATCAAAGGGTGTCCTTCCACTGAATCCCACTGCTTTCTCCAGAATCTGTGCTCCTCTTTAATCCTCTCCTTGTGTTACACTAAAAAAACAAACAAAAAACCAACTACTTTGAAGGGTTGAGAAATCCTTTGGAGTAAGTTTTGGGACCATAGAGAACTGTAGCAGGAAAATGAAGAAATGCGAGGGAAGGCCAAGGAAAGAATAATATTAAAAAAAAACACATTGAAGAATAAATATGGATCTATAACATAAAGAGAAGTCATACTGAAGGTGTTCCTCTGATTTCATGGTTCTCATTCTGTACAACTTTTTTTTCTAATGGTTCTAAAATAAGCTTTTTTGACCATGCCCAGTCCTCATTAGTTCACCTCAGTGGTAGATTTAGTTTACTTCCATTTGGAAAGGATTCCCATCCCCCTTATTTTTTTTTACAGACTGCTTGTATACAAATGTCAAGATTTGTACAAACCTAATGCCTGTCTACACATTTGATCATTAAAACATCCAGGATGATGATAAAAGACTGAGCAAAAAAGTTATCTACAAAAGGTATTACCTTTTGCAGCACTCCTGGGAGATCAAATGGTAGATGTAGATCTAACAGAAAGTAAATGGGATATGAAGGAAACAAAGGAAAAGCACACCAAAAATAAAATAGGAATTGTACAAAGGTTGGCAACCAAGAAAAGTAAGGTGTCTGGTGCTTTCTTTTTAAAATATATAAATAGTATTGTAGTCTGGGTTAAAATGTATCAGCCACCTGGAAATGTGAATCCTCTCCATTTTAATGTAAACCAATCACAATGCTTTCTATACTTGTAGCTCAAAGAAAGATGTCATTGAAATATATTCCAAGAACTACAGGTAGATGATTCTGTCAATTTTGGATTATTTCCATTTCTCATTTTTCTAGTATTAAATTTGTGCCTTCCTTTTTCCACCTAGGTTTGGTGTTTTTTTTTAAAAAACAAACCACCTTTCTTGTATGTGTTGTGTCTTTTGTTTCCGATTTGTGGTGACCCAAAGGTGAACCTATCATTTTTTTTAATGAAGCAGTGAGTGTGTGACTTGCCCAAGATCACCCAGTGGGTCTCTGTGGCCGAGTGGTGATTTGAACCCTGGTCTCCATAGTCACAGTCTAAGGCTCAAACCACTGTGCCACCCTGGCTCCTTTTTGTGTATATAACTATCCCAATTTTGCATTTTTGCATGTATTGCCAAAGGTACATTTTTTTGTGAAGGATTTCCCCCCTGTGTCATACAATTTTCCATTATTATTATTATTATTATTATTATTATTATTATTATTTCATTAGCCTGTATGTTTTATGTCTGTTTTCTGTGTGGACATCCAAAATGCAGATAAGTGCAAACACTGAAGAATAATTGCACTATGTAAGACCAAAGTAGGAACATTGTTCCACATGTGGTGGCAATGTATGAAAGCTAAAAATTACTGGGGGGAAATTAATAATAGAATGAGGAAAATCCTACAGAAAGTCTTACCTTTACGACCAGAATTATATTTGCTTAATACGCTCTCTGTAATTAAGAGTAAGCTAAGTCATGAGGAAAAAAGCTTGATACTTTATATGGTGATAGCGGCAAGAATAGTGTATGCTTGGTCTTGGAAATTGGAATCTTTACCGAGCCTATCAGAATGGCATAACAAATTAAGAGAACTAGCAACTATGGATAAGTTATCAATGCATGCATCTGGTAAATCATCACAGCAATATGAAAAGAAATGGGAAAGGATTGTAACAGATTTTGTATAAGTAAGATAATTTTAAAAAAAAGAATAATTGCACTAACATTTGTAATTTGGTTAGGGACATACAAATTAAGTGTGCATTTTTCTCAGTGTGCAACTGGGGACATGGTGGCAGAAACTGAAACTACTGTATTTATTTATATCAGGGGTAAACTCATATTGGAGAGAGAGCCCTGTCTGGAAGTACCCTGAGAGCTTTCTACATAAATGTGGGTAGCTGAAAGCTTTACTAAGGTGTAACTGCACCATGAGTTCCGAACCATTCCTAGGTACAATGGTTTCTGAATCAAGCAACCAGTGTAGCTATTGAACTGACTATTAAGAGCAGGAGATCATATGGCCAATCTCAGATATAAGGCCCATTTATCCATGCACACCATACTATTAGTTCCACAAATTTTTGACTCCAGGATGTACTGCTTCTCTTTGTACATGTCCTATACATACATATGACAAGGCTTTATTGTTGAGGTAACTGGGATGACTCTGTGATGCTTATTTATGCTGTTGTCCAGAATATAGTTTGGGTATAGGTTGATATAGGCTAGGAAAGTGGAGTGGGGAGAAGGAAACTCTTACTGGGCATTACCTGGTAGAAGCTTGTATTTGCTGGTGTTGAGCAGGAATAAGGAAATATTTTCTTGAGAATTGCTACATCAGCACTGCAGAAATAATCTAGCACATTAACGGTCGTGGCTCAATAGTAGGGAATTCTGGGAGCTGTAGTTTGTTGTGGCACCAGAGCTCTCTGACAGAGAAGGTGACTTGTCTCACAAAACTGCAAATCCCAGAATTTCATAGCATTGAACCAGGGCAGTTAAAGCATTCTCAAACTGGATTATTTCTGCAGTGCGGACAGCTCCAATATCTGCATTACCTCAGTCAAAAGCTGTTGGGTTTCATATTCTGGTAGTAGGAGTGGCCTAAGCCAAACTAGGCTGAGTTTACAAAATGGTAGTGTTTACCACTGAAAACTTACACAAATTCAATCTGAATGATGAAGAAATTGAAATAGGTAAAAATTTCCCACACCTTGGATCAATCATCAGAATGGTGATTACAGTCAGAAAATTAGAAGAAGACTGGGAAGAGCAGCTATGAAAGAACTAGACAAGATGCTGAAGTACAAAGATATAAAAATGGACACCAAAGTTAGTTTCATCCAAGCCATTGTATTCTCCATTACCATGTGACAGTGAGAGCTGGGCGATAAAGAAAGCTGACAGAAAGAAAATAAACTCATTTGAGATATAGTGCTGGAGAAGAGTGCTGAGAATACTGTGGATGGCTGAAAAGAGAAACAAAAGTGTAGATGGATCTTAGAACAGATCAAGCCTGAACTTTCACTGGAAGCCAAGATGACTAAATTGAGGCTGTCATATTTTGGTCACATCATGAGAACACATGATTCACTAGAAAAGATAGCAATGCTAGAAAAAGTGGAAGATAGTAGAAAGAGAGGAAGACTACATACTACACTGATATACTCAATCAAGGAAGCCACAGCCCTGAGCCTGCAAGAACTGAATAGAGTGGCTGAGGACAGTGGGACTTGGAGGTGTCTCATTCATGGGATTACTATAGGTCAAGGTCAACTCAAAGACAGTTAACAACAAATTGTTTACTTGCTGGTATTGCATATGGTACATCCCCTTATGCAGCATTTCAGGTATAGATTTTCCTCCACACTTCATGTTTAGATGATTAGAGAACACACTTGAATTACTGGAAGAAATTTGACAGCACATTGGTTGTTTGCCCTTATCCTAAAGGAGGAGTACTGGATAGTATATAGAGGGTTTGAAAGATGAGGCTCTCATACCAACCTCTGCAAGCTTGTTGAGGATGTGAAATAGTTTTTACTTTAGAGTTTCTCCAGACCAGCACTACTTCTGTCATGTATCAGCATATCATCACATCATTGCCAATTGAAAATAAACATAATCTCCCATGTAATCATGTAATCAGTTTTATGTAATCTAGTTGTGCCTTAGTGGTTAATTTTCCTTTAGTTTTCTAATGTTCAGCAACTGCAAGCATCATTTGGTGGAGAACATTAGATGATATGTCTCAATTTTGTCCCACCTCATAAGGCACCATGACTCACTTCTCACCTTAGTTCAGCTCCATATCTGAAACTCCAGCTCATTTCAGTTTTTTTAAACGGACATGCTTTTGACCATTTCTTCAGCCAGTAGTTGGAGTAAAGCAGCTCTATTTCCTTAAGAAAAGCTTTGAAAAAATGTACTCTCCATTTTCAAAGGAAACTTTCTGTGTGGTTGCTTGACATATCTCTCCTCTCCCCATGATCATTTAGTCATTGTAGTTAAATAAAGCAAATATTGACACACAGATTTAAGCCATTAGATCAATAATATAGAAGTAAAAACAGCCTTCAGAGAAAGCTGTCATTAACATTACTGGAGCATGGTAATACAACTGATTTTTTTAAAAGACAAACAAAAGGAACAATTTTATACAGGGCTGATTTTATATAGTTGGCTTTAATCAGTTGCAGATAGGAATTAAGAGTGAATGACATTAAGCCCGAGGCCATTCTAATTTAAGACAATGGAATTATCAAAGGGAAGACTGGTTAAAATTAAAAGGATTGAAATATCTGTATTTGATGATGCCTGCCCAGAGGTTTGATGTAGCAAATCTCTTTGCACACAAAACTTAGCAGTAATTCATTACAAATATCAGTTACTTCAATTAATTGTTGCTAAGTAACAAAGGCATAGCAAAAATTCCATTACTATTTTGATCTGAGAAGAGATGACCTCTTTCCTTTCATAGTGTATCTGAAATTTTGTAAAATTACTTTTTATATTTTTGGATGTCTTATTAAGTGGTGCAGGAGGGATGTCACATGGTTCACATGGCTTGCTCCATGTATCATGTTTCTGCATTCAGATGTCCTTTTTTAAAAGTTACTATAGCTATGCCTTAGGGTTGATGCTGATGGCCCTTACGGGACGGCTCTATGCCACCCCTGCGAGCACCAGATTGGGGCCACGGCAACCACACATCATGGCCCCAATCCAGCTTTTTGCTGCTCCCAAAAGAGAGGGCAAATGTCACTCCTTTTTGGGGTGGCAAAAAGTCACCCTTAGAGCCACGGCGGCGGCTGTTTTGTGCCCCTTTGGCGCAGCCTGTGTGCACGCTGTGCCAATGGGGTGCCCTGATTTTGCGCACTGTGCAGTTGGGCGTGTGACATCAGGGTGGAGTCGGGGCAGCTGGAGTGCAGTCACCCACCCCAACTCCACAGTCTGTATCAGCCTTAGTTAACCAAATGGATCTATTCCTGGACATTACTTCTTTACCAGAAAATTTTATCTTTGTGTGTGCCTTCATGTTCCCTGTGAACTTATGGCAACCTCAAAAATTTCATGTGGTTTTCTTAGGCAAGGAATACTCAGAAGTGTTTTTGCAGGGTCCATCCTCTTAAATATAGCCTTAATGCACCTGGTATACTTAGCAGTCTCCCATGCAAATACTAACCAGGGTTGAACTTTCTTAACTTTCAAGATCAGATGGGATCTGGTGCCTTTAGGTTATTTAGGCCAGGAGAGAAAATTTGGTACCAGAGGCAAAAATAACATGGAAGGAACAGGGATAGCTTCTTATATCACAAGAAAGAAGAGCTGGTGAACATGTTTCAGTACTCTTTTTTGTTCAAAACTAAAAAAAAAAATATTTGCAGTAAAATGAAACAACCAGGTCAGGTAAGCTTTGCATAAATAAACAAAAATATTTTGAAACTTCTAAAGACTACGTGAATGTTTCTTCCAAAATGCTAACAGGAACGATCTTTTCTTTCACCAGCTTCCACTTTTGTTATGATTTCCATTTTGATAGTAAAACATATAGAATTGTGCTCTCCCCCAGTATGGTGGCAGGTAGTTGATGAAGCAGCCTTATTTGTTTCCCCCCTTTCTCCATCTTGTGCTGTTCATTAATGCTCAGTAAGGTATTTTGGAAGTAGCTGCTATTTACTTTGTTTGTTATAGGCAGGCACACACTACTGCAGTAGGATCAGCTAGAACAGAGTTCTGCTCTTTCCAAGCTCATGTTTTATTGCATTCTTTGCTACACACTATCTGCTGCAACTCACCATGGAAAGTTCATCTAGCTCTCCTTCACCATCCTTCCAATACTGATACTGCCAAAACACTCAAGCTAGAAACTAGTGTGTGCATGTGAAAAATATCTTCTAAAAAAGGAACTTCACTGACAGATACTTTGTTAACTGAGGTATGCCTATGATTAGTAATCTTGTAGTTACTTTTGAGAAATGGGTAATATAGAGTTTCTTTCAAAATCATGACCTTGGAGTTTATTGCAACCCCCCCCCCAAAAAAAAAATGACTTACCCATGCCAGGATAGAATT